TAACAATAAACATATGGACAGGTTAAGAATGAAATTCTATACAGGACATAGTTATGTAAAATACGGAACCGAGTTCGGAAGGCGGGTTGGAAGCGACCGGAAGCGATAAAATGAAATCTGGTCAATGGTATAGTAAAATTGACGCTTTGACAGCGTCATTTTCCAAAAACCTTTAACCACATACTGACATATTGAACCTTAATGTTGATGCCACCGACGCTGACGACGCCCAAATGCAGGATCATTATGTCTCGCTGTTGGACATTGTCCGACAAAGAATGTAGAACTTTTGATTGCCAATTAGACAATCAAATGACGTAGATAAGTTGTGCAATTTCAAAACCTACGCCTGAAGATTTTGAAAATAAATAAAGAGCAGCTAATGGTTCCGAATTGCTCGTCTTGATATATTTGGCCCAAATGACTGCCATCAAAGGCAGTTAAATATTCATTATCCAGAGACCGTAAAGGTAATATTTTAATCGTACATACTAGTATATATATAAATTTATATAATGTCTAAAAGATCATTCCTATCAAATTTGGCTAAAATTAGCCAAGACATTTCTGACAAGAAGTCAAAAATGTACAAACCAATCAGATGCTGTAGTTTTTACCCAATTTTAATATTCTATTTATAGTAAAATAAGGAGATGTAGTATGATTGGCATTGAGACAACTATACACCAGAGACCAATGGACGAAGATGTAAATAACTACATGTCCCTGTACGGTCTTCAACAATTAGCAAAACGCATACCGTTTATTTAGTAAGCTATAAAAGGCTTCGGTATGACAAATTATGATAAGTTCAAAAGAAAACACCAACAGCCTGATTTATGCTAAAATCAATAAGTTTCATAAAATTCTGGCAAGAATTATACACATGAGAGGGCTAACAATGCAATTTTCAATATAATCAATATTTCCAAGTTTTGTATTCCACAACAAAGACAAGAGGCACACCTGTATCGCTCACTTGATTTTAAAAATCACCAGTTTGCTAATAAGAATTTTTTATGCACATACTATATTCACTCTTGTTTTGCTGAATGTTTTTGCAATTTATATGTTTAACGTTGCTCGAAAGGTTTTTGACTGAGATAACTGGTTACAGTCAAAACTGTAAAAAACAAGAACAAGAGTGCACACACACTGAAATGTCTGCATTACTTGATTGAATTCCATATCATACACCGAATATATAGTTAGCCTTGCTTATAGTATCTGGAAAAGAGACCTAAATACAAAATAAAACTGTTATCACAGAGATATGTCTCGCCTTTTTGTAATTTTGATAATGCAAATGTTGAAATTAAAATAGCAATACTTTAACATGTAAGTAATGCAAATATTCAAAGTCGATGAACCATGACTGAAGGTACATGGCTAAACAATCTCCATGGAATGAGATGTGCCAATGCTAATACAACTGTATACCAAATACCATTGACTTATTATAAGTCGTTCCCTTTAAACAAACATAAACACAAACATTGATGTAAACTATGTAAAAGTTTAAAAGTCAATGAACCATGATCAGGGGTGGGGCTATATAATCTCCATGGAAACGATACTTGCAAATGCCAATAAATTTGCATACCAAATATCATTGACTTAACATTAGCAGTTCATCTTAAACTGATCTAATCACAAACTAATACATGTAAACTAAGCAAAAGTTTCAAAGTAAATAGACCATGACTGAGGGGGCGGGGCCAAATATTCTCCGTAGAAATGAGATGTGCTAATGCTTATACAACTGAACACCAATTAACATTGGCCTACCACTAATGGTTCCCCTTGAACTGACATAATCACAAACTTATACATGTTAACTTAGCAAAATTTTCAAAGTCTATAGACCATGACTAAGGGGGCGGAGCCAAATAATCTCCATGGAAATGAGATATGCCAATGCTTATACAACTGCATACCAAATATTATTGACCTACCACTAGTGGTTCCCCATAAATTGACCTAATCACAAACGAATACATGTAAACTATGAAAAGTTTCAAAGTCAATAGACCTTGACTGAGGGGCGGGGCCAATTAATCTCCATGGTAATGAGATGTGCCAATGCTTATACAACTGCATACCAAATATCATTGACCTACCACTAGTGGTTCCCCATAAATTGACTTAATCACAAACTAATACATGTAAACTATGAAAAGTTTCAAAGTCAATAGACCTTGACTGAGGGGGTGGGGCCAAATAATCTCCAAGGTAATGAGATGTGCCAATGCTAATACAACTGCATACCAAATATCATTGACCTACCACTAGTGGTTCACCATGAACTAGACCTAATCACAAACTAATACATTGTTGACGTCATCGCCGTCGCCATCGCCGCCGTCGCCGACGCCGGAAACAGCATACCTATGTCTCGCTTTTTGACTCCGTCAAGGCGAGACAATAATAACATTGCTGATGGCCAATGAACCATAAAAATAAGGTCAAGGTCAGATGAACACTGCCATTCCAAATGAACACCATGCAGTCATTCCATACACCGAATATAGTTGACTTATTCTTTACAGTATCTGAGAAACTGACATAACCATGAAAATTTAATATTGACTTTGTACCATGAAAATGAGTTCAAGGTCCAATGAACTCTTCCAGACGGATATCTTCACCTAACAATCATTCCATACACCAAATATAGTTGACCTATTGCTTATAGTATCCTATAAATGGATAAAACCATAAAAACTTAACATTCATTTAACCAAAAAAACATGAAAATGAAGTCAAGATCAGATGAAATCTGCCAGATCGACATGCAAACTTTACAATCATCCCATTCACCAAATATGTTGGACCGAATGCTTATAGTATCTGATGATGATGATGATGATGATGGATGGATGCTTAACGTCCAGCGGCAAATTAATATGCATAATCAGGACGAGAACATGTTAATGTAATATGAATATTAACCCAGCTTTGTACTAGACCGACACACTGAGCCGGATTTTTAACGTGCTAGTTCACAAGGTAACAGTCCGCAGGACGACATGTCACCTTACCCGGACACATTATTCTGACTCCGAGCCGATCAGTCTTTGCACTAACTCCTTAATGCCGCGTGCTGAGCGGAGTAGCAGCAAAAACCAATTCAAAAGTCTTTGGTTTGATCCGGCCGGGGTTCGAACCAACGACCTCGCGCACTCAAGGCGAACACGCTATCACGAGACCACCGAGGCGGTATACTAATCTGAAAAACAGACCAAACCACAAAACTTAACATTGACCAAATGAACCATAAAAATGAGATCAAGGTCAGATGAAACCTGTCAGTCTGACATGTACACCTTACAATCATTCCACACAATAAGTGTAGTTGACATATTGCTTAAAGTATCTGAGATGCGAACTTGACGACGAAAACTTAACCTTCATCACTGATTCATTAAATGAGATCAAAGCCCGCCCCTTGAAAGGATCCCATATACCAAATAAAGTTATTTTATTTCTCCCAGTCAGTGAGTATTTCACATGACAAAAAAAAATCTTTTTTTTTTCTCAGGCAATCGATGAACCACGAAACGAGATCAAGGATAATGGTCTTTTGGACATACGACACACAGAAATTTCGTAACATAACGCACCTGCATACCAGTTATGAAGTATCCAGGTCTTCAACTTTCAGAAATATAAAGATTTATACAAAAAGATTACGCCGTCGCCGCCGGATTGTAATCTCTATGTCTCGCATTCTGCCACTTTCGTCGCAAGACAGCAAAATCAACATTTCAGGGGCAAAAAATCGAAAAACGGGTTGCAAAAGATATCGGAGTAGCTATATCTTGATATGCTGACCATTTTTGCTGTTTACACTTTTAGTATCCTATAGTTTAAGCGAAAAATGGGAAAATCATTAACATTGGGTACTTTCAAATGGCCGTATGATTTTTTCTTCCTCAATTACTTTCTTACAGTCATATAAACCCAAAAATCAGGTTAAGAAATAGGTGTAATTCTAGAAATTTTTAGCTCCTCAGAGGTGTACATTCTTAATTGGAAAACTATATATTTAGGTGCAATAACTCAAAAACAGCAAAAAATATTATTTCAGGGATTATTACTCAAAATAGAAGTTAACATATTTTGTTCCAATTTTCAGGGCTGATACTTCTTGTGCTGAACCTTTATATAATTTATACTTTTAACCTAGCTCCTACATTTTCACGATAAAAGGAAAAAACTGCAAACAATTATTATTTCTGGAGCAACAAGTCCAAAACAGGTCAACATTTTTTTCTCAGATTTTCAGGGTTGATACATCTTGCCGTGTTGATCCTGCTTACAATTAACACATTTAGCCTAGCCTCTAAAAAAACGATAACAACTACTAAAATTTGAAGAAAAAATCTATATTTCAGGGGCAATTACTCCAAAAGAAGTTGTTAAATTATTCTTCAATTTTCAGGGTGAATACATCCCGTCATGCTGATCATTTTTTTGCATTTTCCACATTTAACCAAGCTCCTATAGTTTTTGAAACAATGGCAAGGAAATGCCAAAAAAAGATAAAACTCAAAATTTCAAGGGCAATAATTTAAAAACAGGTGGACAGATATTTTCATAATTTTATGGTAGATAGAACTTGTTGTGTTGACCATTTTTACTTTGTCAGTTTTTCTCTAATTGATACAGTTCTAGCGATATAAACATGATTGATCAACATGGAAATAACTTTATAGTTGACATCCTAAGGATGAAGCAGCCAAACTTCGGTTTCATTCCATTGAGCAGTTTAAGAGATGAAGATTTTTAAAGAAAAGTTTACGGACGACGGACGGACGGATGACGGTAGGACGGACACAAAGTGATTGCAATTGCTTACATAACCATTCGGGGCAGATGAGCTAACAAAATAATAATATGATGTATTTTTTGTTCAGGGGACTTTGATTTTTTCAGGGGGAGTGTGGGAAAATCCTATGCCTATGCGACATTTTCACAAATAGCTCAGACGACTTTACCTTTTTAGTTGTTTTCTTGAAGCTCCCCTTGGGTCGACCACGCGGTCTCGTCGGCCCTTTAGGTACGTCTGTCTATATACGAAAGAAAAACAGAGGCATGGATTATTAAGTAAGTTTTTAAATGTTTTCATCTGTTTACAGAAAAATAATTGTTTCCCATACCTTTAGTAACTCGTTTTTACCGAATAATGACTGTTTCCAAAACCGTTAGCATCTCCTATTTACCGAATACAAACTGTATTCCGTACCCTAAGCATCTCCTATTTTACCGAATAATAACTGTTACACATACCATTAGCATTTCTGTTTACCGAAAAATGACAGTTTCCTTTACCGAAAGCATCTCATTTTACGGAATAATAACTGATTCCCAAACCGTTAGCATCTCCTGTTTATCGATATATACCGTTTCCATCTATTTAGTAATTTATAACCGAAATTCATACCATCAGTGTCTCTCTCATTATCGTATAATAACAGAATCTCATATTATTAGTATCTTCTACGTAAAATTATATAACATGCCGTTAGAATCTCCTTCTACATAACAATAACCGTATCTCGTACCGTTATAATCTCCTTCTACATAACAATAACCGTATCGCATACCGTTATAATCTCCTTCTACATAACATTAACCGTATCTAAAACAGTTATGATCTCCTTCTACATAACATTAACCGTATCTCATACTGTGATAATCTCCTTTTACATGAAAATAATCTTTTCTCCTACCGTTAGGATCTCCTTCTACATAAGAATAACCGTATCCCATGTCGTCGTTAGAATCTTCTTCTACATAAGAATAACAGTATCTCATACCGTTAGAATCTTCTTCCACATAAGAATAACCGTATCTCGTACCGTTATAATCTCCTTCTACATAAGAATAACAGTACCTCATACCGTTAGAATCTTCTTCCACATAAGAATAACCGTATCTCGTACCGTTATAATCTCCTTCTACATAAGAATAACAGTATCTCATACCGTTAGAATCTTCTTCCACATAAGAATAACCGTATCTCGTACCGTTATAATCTCCTTCTACATAAGAATAACAGTACCTCATACCGTTAGAATCTTCTTCCACATAAGAATAACCGTATCTTGTACCATTATAATCTCCTTCTACATAAGAATAACAGTATCTCATACCGTTAGAATCTTCTTCCACATAAGAATAACCGTATCTCGTACCGTTATAATCTCCTTCTACATAAGAATAACAGTATCTCATACCGTTAGAATCTTCTTCCACATAAGAATAACCGTATCTCGTACCGTTATAATCTCCTTCTACATAAGAATAACAGTATCTCATACCGTTAGAATCTTCTTCCACATAAGAATAACCGTATTTCATACCGTTAGAATCTTCTTCCACATAAGAATAACAGTATCTCATACCGTTAGAATCTTCTTCCACATAAGAATAACCGTATTTCATACCATTTGAATCTCCTACATTACAATAACCGTAGTTCATGCCGTTAGAATCTCCTCAGTAAGAACTACTTAATAATAACTGTAGTTCATGCCGTTATGGTATCTTTTTACATTAGTAAATGTATCTTATACCCTTAGCATATTCCATCGTTTGCCGAATAATAACCATATATTTTACCGTTTTATATGCAAAATAATCGCATCTTACATCCTTAGCATCTTCCACTGTTTGGTGAGTAATAATCGTATCTTGTACCGTTTGGCGAATAAAACCGTATATTATACTCTAAGCATCATTCGCCATTTACCGAATAATAACCGTATCTTATAACCTTGACATCTTCCGCCGTTTGGCGAATAATAACCGTATATTATACCCTAAGCATCTTCCGCCATTTGCCGAATAATAACCGTATCTTATAACCTTTGGCATCTTCCGCCGTTTGGCGAATAATAACCGTACCTTATACCGTTTGGCGAATAATAACCGTACCTTATATCGTTTGGCGAATAATAACCGTATCTTATACTCTAAGCATCTTCTGCCGTTTGGTAAATGATAACCGTACCTTATACCGTATCTCATATCGTTAGCACCAGATATCATACCTTAGCATATGTTTACCGATATAACGGTATCTTGTACCTTTGGCGTTTACTGCATTTGATTATTTTTTTGCTAGATATAATTCCGTTCAGTGTTTCTGTCATTCATTTACTAAATTACTAACATTTTTAGCTGATAAGTATTACCTTCTTACAAAGTTGTCTAAAATTCAGATGGAGAAAAATGAATCTATTATCACACACAAACATCAATAAGCATGATTATCTTATACACAATGTCAGTCATAAACATTCGAGGACAGAAGACATGCAGAATTTCAAGAAAGCTAATTTACAGAAATTTCATACTGTCAGCCGATTGTTAATGAACAGGTGGTGCCTACAAACAAGATCAAACAATAACTACCTTTGTGGTCTTGATGCTTCCCTTTGGACGACCACGTGGTCTCTTTTCTTTGGGTTCCTCTGGCTAGATAAACAAAGATAAGGTCGAATTAATGAATTGAATCAAAGGTTGTTGATTAATTTATATGGCTTTTAACACATTTCAATTACCATGAGGTCATGTTTGGGACAAATGCTTTCACTGTGTCACAATGTTCTTTTAATTTGTTAAGGTTTTTTAGTTTACATTTATATTTATTTTACCTAATTTGTCATCAGTTATCTGTCATGCAAAAATGTTTTACATAAATTACATATAATTTTCAACTAGACAAGTTAGAGTAATGTGAATAATGCCTTTAGCCTTTTTGTTGAATGAAGGAAGAATATTTACTATGCATTCAAAATGAAAATGGAGATCGATATCATTGATTAGTAATTAATTTACTCTTTTATAGTTTGATAATAATATATATTTATTTTTTCATAATTCTTTTGTAAAATTTAAGTAAAAAATATTGAAGAAAATATGAATTTAAAAATGATAAATTAAAATAGCATAATTATTTTAGATAGATAAAATAGCATTATCATACTAAACAAAAATATGCCAACCTCGTCGGACTTGGGTTTTTTAGGACGTCCGCGTCCCCTCTTTTCTGCAACTGCTGTCTCCTCTTCTTTATCCGACATGACTGTTGTAAACTGTTTTCACTGTTTGTCACGCGGACAATAAACAAAATGATTTGTAAACAACCACTAAAATGAAGTCTGTCGATGAATGCATAAAAATCCTCTGCAATATTTATATTTGCATTGAAGAATACTCCGAAAGTCTTTTGTTCTGAAGATTAGAGCATCCGTCGATAAATCGATTGTATTTTCTGTACTAATTTTGTGAATGAAAAACTATGAATGAAAGCGATCAGCTGGGAAAATTGACCCAGTTTAACACATTCGGAACATTTGTCCCATATGACAATATCCTAGGATATAGGTTAAAAATCGACAACTTCCGGAAGGACGTTTAACGCCAAGTCCACCCAAATCCCACACACATTCCAAATTACAATACTGGGAGACCAGGTAGACATTTTTATAGGTTAAATTTCAGTCGCAAAAACCGTGATTTTTATTACATTTATAAACTGTTATTAGATCAACTGACTGCTTTTAACAATGTAGGCCACTGATTAACCTGCACTAAACAAAAAGGTAAAAAGTTGATAAAAATCAAAATGTTGAGAATTAGAGGTGTCTTATTGTTTGCGTTGAAGAAGTATTCACTTGTAGAGTACTGGATATTATGAAGACCAGCCGGACAATGTCATTTGGATATACGACAAAGTTTTCATTTTTAGTTAGTGTGCGGGTTTTGAACAGTAAAAGACAAAAAAATGTTCAGATTATGGCATCATATGAAAAAATTTTAAAACTCAAAAGTTCAACATTTGCTTACTTAGTTATATACTCCTTACGTATAGAAAAAAGAACGATTTTTTATCAAAATCTGATAAATTTGAAGTATATTACGTATGCTAACTGTTCTAATATATTACATGACACCGAAAAATCATTCAATGGTTTAACAGTTTTCTTATCAAATACGGGACAAAGAGGTGGTCGTAAAAAGGCATTTATAAAAAAAAAACAGTACGAAAATCCGAGACCTGATTATCAACAGTATGCTATATCGCCTTGAGTTTGTGTAAATACCTTACTGCTTTTAATAATGCATCTATTGTGTGACATATCATCTACGTTACATTGCCCTTATAACAAACATCAAAGTCAGTCACAGACAGCAACATTGTCATATGGAGGTTGTTTAGTGCAGTGAGTTTGTCATGAATTAGTGCAGACTATAATTCTGAGTGACAAGCAATGGCAAATATGAATATAAAGAATTTGTCCTCAAAATGAAGTGCTGAAGATATGCCTCGCCTGTTCACCTGTTGTATATATCAATAAATGTTGTAGATATAAATACTGCAAGCAATTTTTGCTATTTACTCTTCATTAAAATCCAATGTCAATGTCGTAATTTAGTAAAGTAATGTCATAGTTAAGTTCATGTTCGTCAAGATTCTGTGCTGTGATTCTTATAGTTATAAATGATGAAATGAAAGAAGTGATGAAAATGAGCAAACTTCATTTAATATTCAGATAAATATTGTTATTGGGCCTGTATGTATATAAAGCGACCGTAAGGATAATACATTTAATGTGATTTCTTCAGAAGCGCGATTCAATCGAAATTTTACTGTGAGTATTGTTTCAGTCGTATCATACTAGTGAGTGTCGTATAACATAGGCCTGGATTACTTACTACAATGTAAATACAAAACTATCGGATAAAGCAAATCTAGGCTATCTTTTTGCAAACTTAAAAACAATAATACCCTCCATTGGAACTATTCCTGAATCAAAATGATGAAATTCCATAGGAACGCAGGATTTACATACAGATTAATTACCAGCCCTTAAACTTTTGAATCACGATGTATAGACATTTTTTATTCCCAATTCGGTAATTGTGTCCAAAACTGACTTTCAGAGAAAAGGCTAAAAAGGATGCAACGTTGTCTGTTATCATCAGTTTGAACTAATGCCAGTTCCTAATACATATGTTTTTAATCACGAAGTATAGACATTTTTTATTCCCAATTGTGTCCAAAACTGACTTTCAGAGAAAAGGCTAAAGAGGATGCAACGGTTGTCTGTTATCATTGGTTTGAACTAATGCCGGTACCTAATACATATGTTTTTATCGTTTACAATATGAATAGGTATTAATTATTTCTTTTGATTCATAAATAAAAGGAGACGTGGAGTTTACTCCAGTAATACAGAACCAAAAATTCACAAACAGGGCATATAGAGCTGAGCTCAATAAGAATGTTTCACGTTCGGTTCATCTATCATGCTCACCAATTCTTTACTTCTTTGTTCAATTTGTTGATATTGTGTGTTTTGGACACCTTTAAACAAATCATTCACATTTACGTGAAACGAGTATGACTTGTGTAAATTTAATTCTTAACCAAAGAATGACATTTCTGGGCACTTAAATTAACCATGCTTGTTAATCGCATAACTAAAATTTTCTATATGCTATACTGACTTTGATTTCTACAACGATTGTTTCAGTGTTGAAAGTTTAAAATATTGTTTTAACAATATCATTTTATTTTTATTGCTTTAATTTGTAACAAATTGGGACAATCGTCTGGGAGAACTACTTAATTAAATCATGACCCGATGCACCAAATAATGACAAATCACTTAACCAAACTGTCCTCGGTATGATAGCAAATGTTGTTTTAAAAAACAGCGCTATAGAGCAGTTTAGTTTAAAGTTGGCCTTAAACTTAGATTACGAAACAGCCTTAATTGTCTCGAGGTAGCGCGTGCCTCGAATGCGGGGGTCGTGGGCTCTATTCCCAGCCGGGTAAAACTAAAGACTTAAAATTGCTATTTGTTCTCTCTCTCCGTAATTACACAACATTTAGGAGTAAGGACGAAGACTGGTCTATTCGGAGTCAGAATGTGTCTGGTTTGGGTGGCATGACTTCGTGAAGACTGTTACATTGTTAACTAGCACTATAACATCCGGTTCAGCGTGTCGGTCTAGTATAATGTAGGGTTCACATTCATATAAAATGAATATGTTCTCGTCCTGGTTTGCAAGTAATATTTGCCGTTGTGCTATTTTATTTCCAAATTTCACAAGTATGTTGAACGTTACTGTACAAAAACGTAGGCCTCCATACTTTGATGATAGTGGATTGCCATTTCTATCTTACGCCTATAAAATCCTAGCAGAAATATAATTATCTAACTATATATTTATCTCTTCAAAGGTTGAATGATATTGGAAATAATCCTCCTAGTTCTCGAGACTGTCAAAATTCATAGTTTAGATATAATTGGTGTGGCTACGGTGTTACAGGTTAAAGTCACCAACGCTGTCCTTCTTTTTAATTTAAATCCTTGTTCAGTAGATTTGATTTGATTTGATTTGATTTTTGGTGTTTTAACGCCACTTTTAAGCACCGCTTTTGGGCTATTTCGTGGCGGCCAGTTTTTATTGGTGGAGGAAGCCGGAGTGCCCGGAGAAAACCCCCGACCTTCGATAGGAAAACTGACAATCCTAGTCAATTAAGATTGGAGTCGAGTGCACCCGCACGAGCGGGGTTCGAACTCCCAACCTCAGTGTTGACTGGCTAGTGATTCTTGTTCAGAAGAGAGACTGTTGATAACGTATTTAAATTTAAATCTTGCCGATAATCTATTCAACATTTTGTAACGAACTTCACAAAAAAAAATCTTCGAATATAAAATATTTGCCTTGACCTGGGACATAATATATTATTCCCAGCCTAGACTTGAAAGCAAGTTAACCTCTCTAAAAAGGTTTAGATTTTGTATCTGCTGACATAGTAGCCAACAACTGTCGTTCTTTTCCTTTTTTCCGCTAAAGCAATCTAATGTCACTGTTAATATTTTGGTGTATGTTTTTAATTTTTCAGTTGAAACCTGTTGTGTTGAAAATTATTGGAAAAAATAAATTGAATTCATTTGGAATTTCTCAAAATACATTTCAAAGGTTCAAATCTTATCTATGTATTAGAGAACAATGTGTTCGATGGAATGGTATTTTATTGGTGTGCCTCAAAAGGTTCAATACTCGGACCTTTGTTTTTCAAGTCATTTGTAAAGGACTATCCTAAATGTTGATACACTCTGATGTTACTATTTATGCAGATGACACATCACAAGATATGTCTGATGTCTATTGATGCCATTGAAAGTAAACTGAATGAACATCTACTTAGTTCTTTGCAATGGATGAAATGTAATAAACTGATTATGAATTTGAAGACGACTTAAAGTATTGTAATTGGCATGAAACAAAAACTGTCGAAATGTTGAAATATCTGTATTGAAATAGGTGATATATTGTACTTGAAATCGTTAATGAAGCTAAACTTCTGCGTGTGTATATTGATTGTTCTTTGACATGGTCATACCATATTGATATTTCAACAAAGATGATTTGAAAGAAAATTGGTGTCTTGAAAAGATTAAAGAGTTTTATGTCAAAGTTTGCTATACAACTGTGTTATTTTTCCACATTTAAATTATTGTTGTACCATTTGGTCAGATGTAAACAATGTTGCCAATATTGATAGAACTTTTAAGCTTCAAAAAGGGCAGCACGAATTAAATAATCGTAATATTATGACGTCGTCAACCATACTTTTTGGAGCGCTTCAATGGATGCCCATTCCAGATTATTTTGTATATAGAAAAGCAATTAGTATTTAAAGTACTTCGCCAAATGGTTCTGGACTATCTCAATGTATTTAAATCTGTGCATCAGTTTAGTTCTAGAACAAACATACAAAGTACTGGTAATATGCGTTTTGTTCCAAAAACGCCCCTTGGTGATATATTCTAACTTCAAGATATCTAATAAACTTCATAAGATATATCATATAGTTTAAAAGATATCTTATATAGTTTAATATAAGCTATCTTATATAGTTTAATATAAGATATCGTATATAGTTTAATATCAGATATCTTATAAATATTTTGATATAAGATATCTTATATATTTTATAGATTTCTCTACTCTGTATACTACAATACAAAAAAAAACTTTCTTATTTTATAAAATGATCTTTCGATAAATCTGAGTGCAACTATACATGTTACAGTCATTAAAAATTCCTTTTTCAATTTTTTTTCTTCTTAATGCACTAATTTGACATGCAAAAGTATTATCAAAGCAATTATTTTTTTCTGGATAATATTTATCTTCATTTCTGTGAAAACCTGTTCTGCCAAGAGATTGGTATGCTGATGAGGACTTACTGTGCCCCTCTTTCTGCAGATTTATTTATTTACTATTATGAACCACAGATCAAGGCAAACATTATAGAGCAAAAAGGAAACACAACATG